TGTTTCCTTTTTGTTGCCGGTGTGGTTTTGATTTTTTAGGGTTTCAGGTTTTAGGCCAGATTGTTGGGCTCAGAGTTCGTTCAGTCAGGATGAACAACCCCTTTGGATGTCGAACACGTCTGTTTTGTAGACCTTGATTTCAGATGTGGTGGCCATGGCAACGGTGGTCATGATGCTGACGTCAGTTGTGGTGGCGGAGGTGGTAACCAAGAAGTATTCATGATAAGAACAAGAGTGAGCATGAGAGTAAGACGCACTGTCAATGACGATTGTGACTATGGTTATATGAAGGCAACGGCAATGGCAATGGCAGTGTTGTCGTTGGCGATGGCATGGATGTGTGGCCGGGATGCTGATGACACGATGACGACCACAGACCACTATGGCTGATTATGGCGATGATGATGCGACTGATGACGACGACGATGATGATGATGGTGACGATGGTGATGATGATGCTGATGCCGGCCATGGTGATGTGTGTAGATGGTGGTAGCGTCGATGGTGGCGATGATGATGATGATGATGGTGTTGATGATGACGATGATGATGAACATGGTGGTGAGCGTGACAATGATGCCGGTGAATGCGATCGTCAGGTCGGTGCTGGTGCTGCTCAAAATGCTGGTTTATGTGAGACCCAATCCGATCCAAGTAATCTCTGCAGACCGAGAAACAGTAACAGTATTCATACACGCTTCAACCCTCAAGCTACTCAAAGCACACCAGCGCGCGCACGCGCACACGCGCACGCGCGCACGCGCGCACGCACGCACGCACGCCCACGCACACACACACACACACAACACAACACAACACAACACAACACAACACAACACAACACAACACAACACAAAACACACACACACACACAACACACACACACACACAAAACACACACACACACACACACACGCACACACGCACACACACCCGCGCGTGCACTCGCGCAATTACAAGAGGGAGTCTTCATTTACACGCAGAATCCTTCACCACAACTCACGTGGATCATCGTATCCTTCAAAGACTCCTCGTACTTTCGGATTTCCCCATGGATTCGTTTGGGAAATGAGGCTCTAGTGAAGACAGACCCTGCCCCTGCAAGCCCCAAAGGATTCAAAAACTCTCCAATCTCTCTGTAAAACATTTAGGGTCCAGGCTTTTAGGATTTTAGGGTTTAGGGTTGAGGGGTTATGGTTTAGGGTTCAGGCTTTTAGGGCTTTAGGGCTTAGGGTTTAAGGCTTAGGGTTCAGGCTTTTCGGTTTTTAGAGTTTAAGGCTTAGAGTTTAGGGTTTTAGAGCCCTTAATAAGCTGGGATCCCTGCTGGGACACGTGCAGCTGTCAAGCCACCACCAGCTGTCTCCACCTCAGGCAGCATGCAGGCCAAACTACAAAGGATCTAGGGCACAAACCTCAAACTAAACCCCTTGAGCCCCACAAAGCCTAAACCCTAAATCCTGAGACTACGGGCTCGAAACCCTCGGTCCATGAGCCCCAAACTGCATATAAGTTCTTTTCCTCGCACGGCTCGTCGTCTCTGAGGATCTGTGAAACGCGGCTGCTCCCTTGGCCTGAAAACTTCCTTACTGCCCTAAAACTATGTTTAGGGTTTAGGGCTTAGGGTACCGAAACTTCTGAGCCCTAGACCTTTAACAGGCTTTAGCCCTACGGCCTAGCCCGAATTAAACCCTCTTCCCCTAAACTGCCCACCCGTAAGCCCTTGACCGTAAATCGCCTGCCCGACACCTTCCATCAACGCGCAAGGGTTCTGCCCATGCAAGGGCCCTACGCTCACTTAGCTTTTGGGGGGTGGCCTACCAACAGATAGTGATCCTATATTGCATTAAAAAGCGCAAACTCCCACATTAAGAGCATTATACAAGCCAACCCCCACTAGCCGAAACCCTAACATCCTAAATCCCAATAAAACCCTAAGCCCTAAACTCCTACCCCTGAATCTTGCCTGGGGCATCGCGCATAAACCCCCTAGCTCTGAAAGCCTATGAAGCCTTAAACGAAATGGGATTTCCGAAAATAGGGGGCCCTAATAAAGTACCCTAAATATGTTTAGGATCCTTATTATAAGGACCCCAAAATAAGGTACCCCCCTAATTTTCGGAGAAAGTCCCAAGTTCCGAAAACTCCCGTCCCGGTCGAGAGCCCGATCTGGGCTCAGCCGGAGGAGCTTCCTCTGTTCAGCCATCTCGGGGTGCATCCTGGACAGGAGGTACTTTTTTTTAAGGGGAGGAAGGGGGGAGATGTTTCTTTAAAGGGGAGGAAGGGGGGGAGATGGGCTTCAAGGAGCTGTTTGTGCGTTTTTTGCTTCATGTGCTTGGGTGTTTGTTTTGGTGTTTGTTCTTTCCAGGGAGGAGACGGGGAAGCTCGGCTTATCGGTACAAATTTTGAGCCAGTGGCTTGGCAGATGTAGTGACAAATCTGCTCCAAGGCGTTTCGGGGGGAATTTTGAGCCTCTGGCCGTGTAGGATTCGAAGCTGTTGGGTTACAGGGTTTAGGGATTGAGGCTTAGGGTTAAGGGTTGTTTCGGGTTTGGGAGTTCCGGCATGCCGGGCATTTCTACACCCGTGCCAAAGAGTCAGATCACCCCCTCAATGTTGCCTTCTCGACAGCAAGGTCCTCCATTGCGAACTCCTCCAGGTGCCAAGACGATGCGGATGTCATAACTCTGCATGCGCTTCCTCCTTTGAATTCCGACCAGGCTTGCACTTCATGAAGCTTCCAGGATTCCAACTTACGTGAACCGTATATCGTGCCCTAAGTCTCACGCAAGGGATTTCGAGGGACCTGTAACCCGAAGAATGCTATGTTCGTACCAGCCGATTGGGACAGGGTTTGTGAAAGCAAGGCCAGCATGCCTTCATTTAATTTAAGCATGATTGTGACTGTGTGGTTCCATACTTAATCCAGCATAGCACACCCGACGAACATACAGGTTTTATTGGTGTATTCGTTTTGGCTGGCCCGAGAGCACGAGAAAGCCTTTTACGCTAGACCTGAACAGGCCTCGGATCAGCCCCTCACCTGCCCTTTTCGCAGGATAGGCGGCTGAGTCATGACTCAATGGTCGTGTTGATGGTGACAAACCTACAAAATGGTGGTGAACAGATTGACGACGACAAGATTGAATGCGTGCAAGGAGGTAGCGGTCAGGTTTTGAATCGCAGGTAGGCACAAGCGTGCAAAACGGTCGATCGTGCCCGTGATTCTCCTTCTGCAGAGGTCGATAGAAGCAAACGATGTCTATCATGTCTTGCATGTACGCATGCAGACCTAGGTACATATCTGAGTATGTATCAATAAAACAAAAACGCATATAAGCACACACTAGTGGGTCAAAGCTGCAGATACCTGGGGTAGTTCCTTGTAAAAGCACCTTCACTGCACCTTCACACAAAGGCCCGGCCTGTTGATTGCACACTTATACCACAGCGGCTCTTGTAAGCCTTGAATACAGCCTTAATAATTGGAACAGGAATTCTGCGATGTACATACTATAGTTATATAGGGACTGGTATGAGGTGCGACTATGGACTAATCCGACCCCTAGATTACTTGGCCCTGTACGCCGCGGGCCGCTGTGCAGGCAACAGAAACCTCCAACAGCTACGGGCTCGAAGAAACGAACAACAAATACAACTGTACATGTATGCGTGCATGCATAATGCATGTGTACATACATACATAAATGCATGCATAAATGCATACAGACCTACAAACGTACAAACATACAACCATACATACAGACATACACAGACACGTACACGCACACGAGCACGTACACGTCCGTGTACACGTACACAGGTACATATGTATATCTATATATATATACACACACACATGCACATGCAAACCCACGAACAAGTTCACATCTACATGAAATACTGCGAAGCCACCACTAATGGTCTCTGCGTGTGCCATGTCGCTCGTGCCGTCTGCTCACAACGACCTCCGCAGCTGGCAAGCCAAGCATCAGCGCGGGAAAGCTTGGAATTCAGGGAACGTGTGTCCCAGAGGATTGGGTAACATGGTGCAGTCTTCGGGGACAGCAGTCAGAGCTGTACCTGTCCCAGGCCGCAGCATTTGACGAGCAACTGTACACCTACTACCACAGCGCAAGTTCCGCAAGAGGTGAACAGGCGCGAGTAGCCGCTAACCTTAAAAAAGTTGGGCTCGCTTCCTGTACATTCGAATCCCTTCCACCCAACAGTGAACCCTAAAACCCTTATATACAAACCGAATTCTAGTAAACCAGTGACCATGCGGCATGGTGAAGCGGGCGGAAGGGCATACCTCGAAAGCCACCCTAAATAGCAACAAGCGCCAAACAGGGGCCCTTATTTAAAAGAACCCCTGCATTCTGCAAGCCCCAGGTAAACCCTAAACCTTGAAACCCCTAAATACAACCAAACAGCCCTTTAATTCTCTAAACGGCCCAAAATGCAAAACCCTGAACACAAAACCCCCAAGAACCAAAACACTAAACCCGCGGGTCGCGAGCCTCCCCTGACTCCTTTTGAGGGCTGTCTGTGCAACCGTCACCACCAGAGGCCTGGTTTCTTGCCTACGACTCCACTAGGGTTTAAGGTTGGGTTTCACGGGCTTTGCGTTTGGCGTTGCGCCTAGGGATTTAGGGGTTGAAGGATTTGGGGGGGGCGGGGGGTGGTTAAAGGTTTAAGTCTACCAGTTGCATTGAGGGTTGATGGGAGATCGTGGCTGATGTGATAAGTTTGGAGTTCAGCGGTTTGGGAGTTGTAGGGTTTAGGGTTTACGAGGTTGAGGATTCGGGAAAGATGATGACACACTTCATTGCCCTGCCGTAGCCGAGGCTTTCCTACCGTTCGTCCGCATGTAAGGCTTCCGGGTTCGGGTTTCGCAATTTCGTTAGCTAAGGATGGAAAAGAAGGCTTTACGACTTTGAAGTAACCCGGGAAGGATTGACCGTTTGCTAGAACTTGAAAGCACAACCCAGCCGTAGAGACAACTCAAGGTGCCTCGGCATCATTATGGGGGAAGCAGCGGTCGACGATCAGCGTCACGACTAGCAGTAGCCAGCACATCACGTGCTTCACGAGGAAAAAAGATCCAGCGCCAAGACCCGGAATGATCCCTGCCACAGCAGGCAGGGAACCGGCACCGGCCCCCAGTGTAAGAGAGACACAGAGCAAGGCCATATCGATGCTTGTCAGCTCCTTGTACTCCTTAATCATACTGATGCACATGGCCTCGATGGGACCGACTCCCGTTCCCAAGCCCGCCACAAGCACCAAGACCGCCAGAAGATGTGTAGGCCAGATCAGCGCCGGGATACAGGAGAGCAGACCGAGGCCGGAACCCGCCATTATGACGGAACTTGGCCTTAACTCATAGCACCACAAGATGCTGGGAGCCAGAACCATGCGGCTCAGCGCGAGAAACGTGTAGAAGGTCACTTTGCACGCCGCCGAGGCAGTGACGTCAAACTTCAAGTCACGCATGACCTCCGGATGCATGTCGCCAGCCCGACCACCTACTGCCGCGGCCAGACATGCCAAAAGGCAACATGCCAGGGTGAAGCTGCATGGCCATTTGGACAATTTGGACCCGGACACGCGGCGAGAAGGAAGACGGCTGGCAGTCCGCCGCGTTGTTGCTGTCAAGCACTGGCTCACAAAGAACACTGCTGACATTACCACGCTGACGGCTCCGATGACACAAGTCGCCACAGGGCTAAGCCCTGTGGAAGACAGCTGGTTTCCGAGGACGACCACCACGGAGCCAAGTGCGAAGCCTCCCTGGGCAAAGCTCTGTGCTGCGCTGCTCTTGCTCAGATCCTCGTGCAGGTTTGCCACAAGCAAAGCAGCCACATGCCAAATCCATGGTCTTGGAAGGATCCTGAGTTCTTCCTGACTTAAGCCGGCACAGGGTCCTTTTTAGCTTCGTTGATGTTATACCGTAAAAACGAGATCATCCTATGTACTTATCACGAACCCAGGATCATGGCCACATAGGCAACCACCATCGCGGCCATCGTCTCACAGCACAGCGGCAGCAGTGCAAAGAAAGTGCTAAGCCAAAGCAGCAAAGCCTTGGGCCCCATGCTAGGAGAGAACAGCGGATGCTGTAGGGTTCTATGACGGTCTAGGGTTTAGGGTTAGGGTTCTATAAGGGTGTTATAGTCCTGATTATGAGCACCCCCTTGAAATACCCTCAACCCTGAATGAACTTCACTTTACTTCACTGCATAAAGGTCCGTCGGTCCTGCGCAACATTAAGACGACCCCAAAAGTGGGGAACCACTGGTCTGGAAAAGCGGAGACTTGCAGCTCTTACATGCAAAAGGTGAAACATAAGCCACCATGAGTTCGACCTCGAAAAGAGGGAGCTCAGGCAGGCAAAGCAGGGAACAGCAAACACGGAGACAGCGGTCGCCCTTGACAGCACGAAGCGAAGACCGGCAACGCCACTGACAGGAAAAGTGAGCTGTGCTGCAAACCAACCTGACTCGGGCAGCACTTATCCACAAAAGTCAGGGCCTGTCCCGCAAAGAGCAAAAGCCCTGAATGCCTGACCCCAATCAAGGCACTCAGAAGGAAAGGTAGAAAACGTAAAGGACAAGTCACGACTACAGTGGCCGCAGTCACCGAGGTGGTAGACAGCGTCGTGCCAACTGGCCGCGGTGTGTGCGGACACCGTCGTAGTAGACTGCAGCTTACAGGTCACCGTGCTGGTGGCAGCGGTCGCTGTCGCCGTAGAGGTAGACAGTGTCGAACCAGTCTCTGTGCCAGCGGCGGAGAGCGTAGTCACCGGGACGGTAGACAGTGTCGAACAGGTCACCGTGCTGGCGGCAGTGGCTGTGGTCACCGTCGCAATCAAAAGTAGATTGCGTCGTGCAAGTCACCGTGCTGTTGGCACGTGCCACCGTGCTGGTGGCCGTAGTTCACCGTGCTAATGGCCTTGGTCACCGTGGTGATAGACGGCGTCGTACTGGTCACCGTGTCGGTGGCAATCGTAGCCGACTGCGTCGTACTGGTCACCGCGCTGGTGACACTGGCTGCGACAGTGTCGTACTGGTCTCTGTGCCGGTGGTAGTGGTCGTACAAACAACCTGAGCAACAGAGGCCCCACAGGACGTCCAGGTAGAAGATAAGAGCCCGAAACCCGGAATCGAACCTTCGGCAGCAGAACCCAACCCACTCGGTAGGCGATGACATCAAAGGGAACAAGTCGAAGTGGAAACGACGAATGGCCAGCTTAAAATAACCAACCAATGCAATATGCAGTGCCAAGGATGACGCTTGCGATAGCGATGAGCTCAGTCGTAAGGCGTTCGCAGCTCGAGATAGAAGCCGCCGGGGACCAGCTATGGCGGTACAGAAACAGGAGTCAGTAGCTGGGGTCGGGAAGCAGCTAAGACCAGGGCACTTTAAGAAAAGAAGACCAGGTCAATAGCCTCGAACCGCGACGCCTTAAAACCTGAACTCCAAATCCTAAACCGCAAGCCCGCAACCCTCTGTCTGAACCCTAAACCCTAACCTCTGAAGCCTAAACGTCGATTCAGAAGCCGTGAGGAGCTGGTGATACTGCTCAGGCCGCACGAAGACAATTTTCGCAGAGGCAAGGCCGGAAACAAGAAGGAACGTCATCTCCTAAATAGGCTCAAGGTTTTCTACAGGCTTTAGGTTTCGGCAACTAATCCCTTGGGTTGAGGATCTGGCAACAAGATCCACAGGAAAAAGTATTCCTATTCAACTCCCCGTCTCCACCATGGGAAGGAACCCCAGTGCTCCATTTTTCAGGTGTAAGGGTGATGTTAGCCACGGCAAAGCCAAGCGAAAAGCATGGCAGTTCACAGAGAGGATCGTGTTGGAAAGGGTGTAGACCAAGACCTGCAGAAGGTATTTAAAGTGTGGGCGTGACAGTTGTGGGATTTGGATCCACAATCAACTAACGCAAGCTCATATCCACCTAAAAAAACCCCACTGAGCTTCGCAACCGCGACTCTTCAGACAACAAACCCAGCTCAAACCCCTCATTCACGCCCTATAAGACTCGAATAAATACCATGAAATCCTTCTACAACATGCTTCCTGAACACTATACAACCCGATAGAGATCCTAAACAAAACACCTCATTTGGGTATTGTACCATAGTATATGGTACGAGTAGTATGTGATAGTATCTTCTTTACATTGTGTACATAAGTATATTATTGTAGCCTGGAGACGAGGAGGCTCTTCCTCCCATCGCTGAA